CCCCAAAACCCCAAAACCCCAAAACCCCAAAACCCCAAATTTATAAATATTTATTGAAATCCAATGTACAACTTTTCAAAGAAGTTCTTCTCAATCAGTTATAAGCATGTAAGGCTTAGCTTTGGAGATAATGCAAGGGCCAAAGTAGCTGAAGGCATGAGGATCATGGCTAGTAAGGATCAATTTTTAACTATTTAGACGTAACCTCCAAGACATACGGCCCTGGAGGAAGAAATGTAGCGCTCGAGTATGATTTAGGAGATCCAAAAATCACAAAAGATGGGGTCACAGTTGCCAAAAATGTATTTTTTAAAGATAGAGAGAAGGAACTAGGAGCCAAATTGTTGAAAAGGATAGCAGATTCTACAAACAAATACTGTGGAGATGGTACAACTCTCTCAGCTATTTTTGGAACTTCCTTAGTTTCTAAATCATGCAATGCAATAACCCATGGGATTCACCCAACAATGTTGAAAAGGGGTATTGAAAAGGGAAGAGATTCTGCTCTTGAAATATTGAAGCAATTTGTAATGCCAGTGACTAATGAGGAAGAGCTTAAGAACATATGCCTAGTTTCCTCTAATTACAATGAAGAGATTGCAGATATTACTTCAAGAGCTATTAATAGCATTGATTCCACGTAAGTTCTATACATTAATCTCAACCATTAATAGGGTCGGAATGTTCGGAAATTTAGAAATTGAGCCCAGTAAAGTTGGCAAGAACCAATTAGAGATCAACAAGGGTCTTTATATTGATAGAGGATTTGTTTCCAATGAATTTTGAAACACCTCCTATGGGGATGAAATTATGCAAGAAGTTACCCTAGATTACCCCATGATTCTGATTGTCCACGACCCTATCAAAAAGAATGAGCATATAGTAAAAGTGATGGATTTAGCCAAGAAGAATAAACGCTCTTTGCTCGTCATCTCCACAGATTTAAGAGAAGGTCCATTGAGTTCAATGGTCTATAATGCTCAAAAGGACGTCATTAATTGATGCGCAATCAATGTTCCCTATATGGTTGGGAAAGAACAAGATTACCTAGAAGATTTAGCTGTGATAACAGGCGCTACTATCCTCAAAAATGATAATATGGTTGATGGAATAGAGCAAGTCAAACTCGAGCATTTTGGATCTGCTGCTAAAGTAATTATCTCAGAATTAAAAACACAATTCATCAAAGGAGCTGGAACTGACAAAGAAATTGATAAGCACATGGAAGTGATCAAAGCAAGGATTGAACAAGAGCCTTCAAAACATTTTAAAAAGATTATGAGAGATCGTTTTACCAAGCTTAACCAACTTCAAGCCACAATTTATGTGGGAGGTACCACTGACGTTGAGCAAGGAGAGATTAGAGATTTGATAGTAGACTCACTAAACTCAGCCAGAGCAGCTTTAGAGCATGGAATCCTACCAGGAGGAGGAGCAGCAATGTATCATGCCAGTAAATTACTTCCAGTTTACACTAATATTGAAATGTTTGAGGAAAGTGTTGGGCTTAAAATATTCCAAGATTCAATGCAACTGGCTATCAGAAAAGTTATCGAAAATTCTGTTGGTGAAGACTTGGTTGGTCATTACCTCCAAGAAATTAATAAAAAAGTAAATATTTTGCTCATCTTTAGGAAAACTATTTATACGGATACAATTGTAAAACAGAAAAGGTAGAAAATCTCTATGAAGCAGGAATACTTGATAGTTACAAAGTAATCAGTTCAGTTATTGAAGACGCTTCTCGTTTAGCAACAATGGTCATAATGGTAGAATGAAATGTAGTCAAGATGAAGAATTATACTCCTATGCCCGTGTCTGAGCATCAGAATTATAGAGAATTCTTCTAAATCCTCCTTGAAGAATCTTCAATTTTTAAGAATATTCGGGGTTTTGGGGTTTTGGGGTTTTGGGGTTTTGGGG